AAGTTTCTCTCTGAAGGCGACATTAACTTGAGATTCAAGGATTTTAAGTTGTAAGAACCCCTCTAGTTGATCCATATACGTTTCTGCAGCGCTTCGTTTAGCTTCGTTGTTTCTAAGAATTAATCACAGTCATTTTACACAGAGCATAGTGGGGAAATTTTATCATATAGTTAATGACAGCTATTCTTACTGCGTGTATACACTGTAAGAAATATTACCAACGGGCGGTTACTCTATATATATGCATGTAGGACTTAACCGCTGTGGTGATATTTTTCACCGTGTGGTGGCAGGTCATCACTGGGCGGTGATGACATGTCACCATATGGTAATAAATCGTCACCAATTGTGTAGGAATCCACCACCCGGGGGTGGTACAGAACTCAGTCATAAAAAAGATGACAATGTCCATCACCACAGGCGGTTGAGTCAAATTGTGGTAAACATCGTAACCGCGATCACGCAGTTTTTTTAATGTTCTTCCTTAGAAATGTATACCGTTCAATTAATTTTGTATTAATCTGATTATCTGCCCGAGGGAGATGAATAAGCAGAAGATCGACGTCACAAAAATGTTTGCAGTCGCCATAAGTGTTAACGCTCCAATTGTGTAGTATTGCCAAAATTCTATTAGAAGAGCTAAACCATGTCCTGCGGTTCTTAGTCCATCCGAGTAGTTGCCTCTGTACGAACCTGATTTTATTAAAAATATGAAAATATTTACTTCATCTCGGAGATATGGCGGTACAGTTTGGTTATTGAATGATCCATGCAACAAAAATCGATAAATAGACGTATCCTACAATTAAAATGTCGGAACAATAACTTTGCTCTTAATAATTACCCACAATCCCTGGAATTATCGATCCCAAGAAGGGAATCCTGTCCATTCTGGCGAGGATGAGTAGCATCACAAAAGTTGGGACAAGCGCTGTCCCACAAAACCCCAACAGGCAGACTGCAACCTTCAAGAATTTCTCGCAGACCTGAATTTTCTTCCACTTTCTTACCAGAATTTGTCGCTCATATGCTAACATCATATTTAGCAAAGTTGCAAAATTCGCAGGATTTTCGTACAATGAAGATACCACGGTTAATACGAGGACCGGAATGCACGGCGAAAACATTAGCACTAACGCTTTGTCGCCCCTACTTACGGTTGACAGCCGGAAATTCCATACTCCATTGAAGAGGAGGAATGCAGCATAGATTTTAAGAGTGATAAGTTTGAATTTTAAAATTCCGCGACCCCGGCGACTTTGTGGCTGGGATGGTGAAAATGTTGGCGTCGGACCTGGACTGAGGGAGAGGGGAGAATAGATGAAAAATGAGATTATTTTTAATTGTTTCCGCGTCACGGTTAAAATGGATGAAAGGCTCATTTTCATTAAGTCGTTGGAGTGGTACATTGACAGTAAATGCGTCAGGTTGGAGTGAAATTTTGTCAAAGTTATTTAAATTGAATTCCGAAAGTAAATAGAATGAGTCTATTGTTTTGGAAAGTGTAAATAGTTGCAATTCTATATTTCTACATAATCGTCAATACTTTGACTTTACAAGGTCAAAGATAGAGCTGATGATGTTTGTGATGAATTTGTAAAAAATTAACAAATGTAAGTAGGGCTTGCTCGTGTGGATATTTGTATGCAGCATAATGGGTAGAGACTACAGTATTGTGGAAATTATGGATTTAATTGATTTCAATATTTAAAAAAGTAAATAGCAATGAAATTTGACATTTGGACTGGTAATGTAGTCGAATTTAAGTACATGTAACATCCTGCAGCAAGATTTCTGGTAAAATTATTGTATAAGTTTTTATAACACTCGTATTATAATGATTCATGAAATAATTTGCTGTGACATTTTTGCGAAAACGAGATAATGTGTATTCAATAATTATCTGTATTCGTTCCATTGGAAATTTTCATTCGCTAATAATTTTTTTTAAAATAAAATAAAATTGATGTTTTGTAATAATTTTTGTAAACATTTCAATTGTTTTATGGGATAACTCAAAATATATTGTACTAGGAAAATTATAAATTTAATCAGCATCAATTTGTGGATCTTTAAGAGTCTTGTCTTCAATGGACACATCCCCCGTTGGAAGGCTCCGATCTTGATTAATCAGTCTGTAGTAGCCGTTCTTCCTTTCGTATCGGGAAGAAGAAATAGGTTTGCAGTAGTAAGATCTCAAAATTTTATTGTTGCAGAGTGTTTTGCTTCACTGTGGAAATAAAATAGAGAATTTATTGTTAGTCAAATATTTGTCATGTGGATGTACATATGTAATTACTTGGCGTAATTAATTCGAGAAATGGATGTAGAATCGTTTATGTTCATATCATGTGTAAAAATTGTATTGCATTATTGTGCGAGGTAATTTATGTAAATCAATATTTATGTCAATCATATGAATCTGTAGGGTCAATACTATTATAGGGCATCAGGGCTGGTTAACTCTGAAGGGACAGGAATATAATGGCTGACTTAAGGTTACTGTGCCCCTGGTTTATTAATGAATGTTACCTAAACATCCGGTGAATTTGGATTCACAATATACTTTACCGGCTGCCGGTTTTTTTGCAATGGCTCCTGTCGTAAAAGTTTTTTAAATTAATATTTATCAGAATTTCTGTTGAGAAGACCAGTTAAAGAAAATAGTTTTACCAGAAAGTATACAGTAGAATAAAATAAACTTGAATAAGAATTTTGGAATGGTTTCCATGGCTACTTGTAATCCACCCGGGTTGAGTTACAGTGTAATTCATACTGTGTAAATATTATTTACATACATTAATTTAGAAATGCCAGGAAATGACAAGTCGTTAAATTAGAGACAATGCATATCGACGATGTCATATCATAAATTTCAAATTTATTGATTTTTATGAAGGTATTGTAGTTTAGCCGATTTACAAACTAATTATCAGATTTTTTGGCAAATACATTATTTGTAATGCCAATACATGTATTGTTCAATATACTTAGAATTTGTAACATTGCAAGAAAATTTGGCAGTATGAAAAATAATTGATTTTAAATAAACAGTATCCTACTGCCGCTGTCATTTGCATTAACTTAATTATAATGATCGTTCATCACGAATTAATTTATCAAAAGTTAAGTTATATTATTTAATTAAGAGGAGTTATATTAGTTCATCAAGATCAACTCAATCCTGGATTGAGTTGATCCGCAGAGTTGGTGCGGTGGTGGCGCTGGCTCATAGCTCCTCCTCTACCCGGGTTAGGGCAAAAAATGAAATTTTAAAAGTGTCCAAATTTTAAAAAAAATTTCTATCGTGTAGCCCATGTAATTGTGCGTCTAACCATATGCTTGGTTCCCGTTTGAACCACTGAAAATTTTGCAGAAAAAAATAAAAACTGAACGATTTTTATGTTTTTTAAAAATTTGAGATTCACATTATATAGAGTTTTCAAAAAATTTAAATTTGAGATTTCGAATTAATTCTCAAAAACTGTTATCAAGCTTGCTCTTTCAAATTAAATTTAGTTGGAATCCATATTCCAATTGATAGTGGAGAAATATTTTTTTGAAATCAGGTAGTTGACGTATCCTGTGTCACGTTAAAGAAAACCGGTTTTTGTTTTTTATGCAAAATTTTGCGTGATTCAAACCGGAACCGTATATATATTTAGATGCACGAGGACAAGACCTACATGATAGAACCAAAAATTATGAAATTTGGACAATTTTGAAATTTCATTTCATTGGGCGGTCCGTAAAGATTTTGGGACCAATAAAAAACTTGGGCAAATCGCGCAGGATACCTATCCACACTGCAAGATTTGCCCAAATCGGACAGACTAGAGTTATATGTGAGTAGCTCGGTGCTTTTCATGTAGTAAGTCTCATTTCTCAGGAAAAATGGACACTGTCGGAATATTGTCATTTTGACAATATTTTTTTGCACGTCTCCAAACATGACGTAATGCTTGCAAATTCTAGTAAATTATTCATAAACAAATCTTGCAAAAACTTTGAGCACTTTATTACTCGTAATAAAAATAGAGGCGTAATTGACAGAATAAATTTTACAAATCCGTGTCGCTCTGACCATCTTGTGGATCCCAGCCGTCCTCACCTTCAACAATTTCGTCGCCCTCCGTCCCAATTTCCGGTGTTTGTGCTGAATTACTAAAATTGATGCATTTAAGCCATGGACGTTTCAATTTTTTCCGTTCCTCCACAACGCGTGGGAGTGGGATGGGTGGTCCAAATTTAGGTTTTCGACTCCCCTGAGTGTGTGTCCTTTCGTGTCGGACGAGATTGTAGGTTCTGAAATTGAAATAAAGGATAAATTTAACTTTTTCAAATTATTTTGAATGTTAATGATGTAATTAATGATTGAAATTCCATACCTGGAGAAAGTTTGCTCGCACGCGTACACTTTCTGATTATGAATTCCATGAGATTGAAAATGATTTACGAATCTCGCCTCACTTTTAAATCGTAGCTCGCAAAGGTCACACGCAAACTTTTTTGCATTTGCATTTTTATGGAATTCCTGGTGGACTTGCAAACTCTGCCTTTGTGCAAACTGCTTGTCACAGACTTTGCAGGAGAATAAGTTTTGCACATTTTTTTCTTCCTCATCCCGCTCGTGTCGGTTCAGGTGGAATTTTAAATTTTGTTGGGTTTGAATGGTGATTTTGCATCGAGCACAGTTGCGCTTTGTGACCCTTCTTGTGTGCCGTGTTTACGTGACGGATAAGATTGTACTTTCGTGGGAAAATGCTTCTGCAGGTGGAGCAAGTGAAAGACTTGGTGGAGTTATCGCTGAGGGGTGGAGGTGGCTTAATGATAAGTCCGAGGGTGTGGTTTTTCTGGGAAGGACGTTTCCGTATGGAGGATTTGGCCTAGAAAATTAATACAATTAATGAATTTAGTTCATCTCCATCAGTACCTTACTGACGTCACTGACGACGAGTTATTTTAATTAATAAATAATTGTAATTGCTAAAATGAAGTTGTTAAGTGCCTACCTGCGTGGAGGAGGCGGAATTTGAAACTTCTGATGATGTAGAGTGATTAAGGTCGGCGAGAGGATCGCCATGGTCGATGAAGTGAAAGGTGTTGCTTCCACTTTCTCCAGGATTGGCAGGATTATTATCCGATGGGTCGTGTGAAAGTAGATCGAGAGGTATCATTTCTTCTTCGTCGGACGCTACTTCAATCGCTTCAATTTTTACGCCTTCTTCAATGTCGAATTGATCGTTGATAAGTTGGCGACTGTCAACACTTGTGTGAGAAAGAGAAATGGTTCCGTCCAACTCATTTCCGGTGGGGACACTCGCTGTAAATGGATACATTTATTTATGAATTGTATTGAATATATTTAAGTAGTTAATGATGAATTACTAATTAACTATTATTAATTGATGGCCGTTCTTTAATTTTTATACTTATATTTTTAAATAATTTCTTACTTGTCGTGTAGTTAGTCCAGTTAACCAATTCTGACACCATTTTCTCCAATTGGGTAACTCGCTGGAGAAGGTGATCCATATTTGAGTGCTATTTAATTAATGAAATTTTTTATGTGGCAAAGTAATAATTAAATTAAATTTGCCTGTTTTTTCTTGCAAAAAGATTCACCATCAACTTCTGCTACTTTCTCCCGCACTTCGTCTCACCACCACCACCATCGATCTTACTTTGTTGCAAAAATTCGCGTCCAAAATATGGAAAAACTTGATGAACTATTTCTGACAGAAATTATTACTAAAATAAACTCTATAAATACAATCATATAATTTAAGACAGCTATTTGATTAATGCATTTATTTTTAGTTATGGCTATTCATTTAACTTAAAAGATATGAGAATGAGAAAATAAGTCCTTGTTGATCCTATATTTTCATATCGTACAAATTCACATTTCATAAATTTTGAGCTATAGTTAAGTCCGATATTTTTGCAATTAAAAACCCATCAGATTTTTAAATCCTTAATATAAATTTTTAGCAATGTGACATTTTGCACTGGAAAATCCGCTCTTGCCCCGTGGCACAGCCAACACTAAATTATAATCACTCAACGTTTATTTCGCAACAGAGTTGGATTTGCTGATTTTTGTTTACGAATTTTAATAATTGTTGATAAATAAAATGTCCCCACTAAGATTGCAGTTAGCTTGTGAAGATGAAAGATCGCCGAAGACAGGTATGTCGATAATGTAAAATAATTTATTTTATAACAACTAGCAGAAGTTTGTATTTACAATTATTTCCAAATTAATTGAAAACTTTTAATTTTAGGGAACATTATCTCCAATAATAATGAAACGATGGAAGAATGTAATCTCGATGACGACCCGATGCTGACAGCGCTTTTCAATCCGTTGGTAGCTTTTATACTTTAGTATTTAGTTAATTAATTCCATTAAAAATTGTATCTCAAAATTCCTCCATCTCTTTTCCAGGTCCTGCAATCAATATTTTCCTCCTTACACCTCTCTGACCTTAAGTCGGTTCGCCTCGTTTGCAACTTTTGGAATGATCACAGTGGCCTCGTCGCCCTGGGGAAGAAAGGGTATCTCAATTTGAAAAAGACCTGGCCTTGTTGTCAAATCTCCGATCCGCCCGAATTCGACACCGCTCTAGCAAAAAGGGTCAAAGTTACGGCAAGATGTCGCTGTGCTGGGTCGGATCACCTCGTCGACGCCGCTCTGACCGAAAACTTCTCCTCTTTTGTTTCCCCTATCAAGGAAATTGTGGAGGAAATGGTGCTCGAAGTGGACCTCAATTTTCTCGCTTTTTGGAAACTTTGGAGATTAAAGATTTCCAGAGACTGATGGAATTGTTTCCGTGTGTGAAGAAGCTTAATCTGGAACTGGAGACGAATTCTGACCTGTGGTCGGGATCGAGGGACAAGAAGACGCACTTGAAGAATTTGCTGGACGTGTTGGCCGACTGGAAATTGGAACGGGGTCACGTCGTCGTCAACTTTGCGGAGGATGCCGACATTGTGGAGGCTGTCGTTAGCGGAATGTTGGAGTGGACTGGTAACTAAATATTAAGATAAGGTTGGGGAGTACTAATTTATCTATTTAATTGAAGTGTCGTCATTTATTTAAATAGGGCGGAAAACAGCAGTTTTCCATCGTTCGCATTCTCGCATGAATTTTGGGATGGTCGTGCTGATCAAGGATCCATTTATGCCGTGTAATAAATTTGACTGGGTTGAATTTCGTGGGTTTGCTGTAAGTTGTTTACGTAACTTTTAATTAATCATTTAAAGTAATAATATGTTTTTAACAATTGATATTTGTTAATGCAGAAGAACACTTGGGCCGTGCCAGACACTGACGTTTGGGAAACCGTGCTAGAGGCGAAGATTAAGGAATTTGCCGAAAAACGGATGTGTTCTCGGCACAGACGTTCCCAGTGATGTGACGCTATAAGAGTGACGAAATTTTTTTACTTTTTGACTACTTATTATTTTTATAAAATAAAAGTTTTATTTAGTGATTAAAAATTTATTAAGTATATAAATTATTTTATTACTCTTGGTCGGGTAGTAAAAATCATACTTAATTTAATTATTAATTAAGGAATCAGTCTAAATATACATATAATTACTTTTTATGTACCAAAACTATCACCATTTTTTAATAATCTTTACCCGAAACACCCCATGATAAGTACATATCTCATTTCCTCTCCTTATCCCTCCTTTCCCTCCACCCACGTCTTGCTCGCCTCATCGTACACCACGTCCACGCCATGCTTCCCCTTCACATGCGCCACCATCCCAGCCGTCGTCGCCAACCTGGAGAAACACTTCTTGATCGGACACCGCTCCAAATCCGCCAGTCCATGCACCGCCGTCCTGTGCCCTTCAACGCCCCCATCGTCGGGAACGACCTCTCACACCCCGCAACCCCACACGGTTTCCCAGCCCCCACCCCATGCTCCACCAGTTTGTGATACTTCACCCCGTTCCAATTAGTAAACTGCCTCCCACACCCCGCCACTGGACAAGTCCGCTTCACCTCCTCGTGAACCGCCCGCATGTGCCGCTTCAAGTTCGCTTTCTCCGTGTACGTCCTCCCACATCCCGGCCATGCGCAGGGGAAGCAGTCGCGCTGACCGAGGTGGGTCGCCTCATGGCTGGTCAGTCTCTTCTGGTCGGCGAGCTTCTTGCCGCACGTGGCGCACGAGAAGGGCGACTCGTCCAGATTGTGGAGAATCGCGTGCTTCTGCAGGCCATCTTTTGTCGTGAAGCATTTGCCGCAGGTGGGACACACGATTGGCTTCCGGTCCGTGGTGGCGTCGTGGTTCGCTTTGACATGCTTTCGGAGCGTGCTCGCCTGTTTGAACGCCGCCGAGCAGAGGTCACACTTGACGGTGCGTTCCGTCGAGTGGGACAACAAGTGCTGCTTCAGCTTCCAACCGGAAGTGGAGCGGTGGTCGCACAAGTGACAGGCGTAGGGGCACACGTCGTCGTGCAGTTTGAGGTGGGCGCCGAGTTCGGGGCGGAATTTGAACGCCTTGTCGCAACTGTGGCAGAGGAACGTTTTCGCGGAGGAGTGGCGGGGGAGGTGGATGGCGAGGTCGGAGGGGGCGCGGAACTTGGTGTGGCAGATGGGACAGGGGTACTTCCAGCTCGACCGGATGTGGGAGAGGGAGGAGGTGTGGGCTTTTAAGAGGTGGACTTTGAGGCTGGTGGGATCAGTGTAAGATTTCGGGCAGGTGGGGCAGAAATAGGGGCGGAGCTGGAAGCAAAGAGAGTAAATTTGAAAAGTTTTAGTTTTAGATTTTTTTTGAAATTTGTATAATTTTGGAAGAAATTTATGACAGATTTATTTACCCGGGTGTGCTTATGGCTGTGCGCCTCCAAAGATAATCTGTGGAGGAAGACGTCCTCGCAGAAACAGCAGACGTAGTGGGTTATCCCCTTCTCGATTAGTTCGGCCCGACCGAGGTGGGTGGTTTCGTGGTGTCGTTTCCTACCTTCAGAAACGAATTCAGGTTTTCCGCAAATTTTGCAGGGGGTGGAGACGGGGGCAGAATTATGAGTCCTGGTCCGATAGAGGCGTAGCGAATGAGGGGTGGCGAACACTTTGTGGCAAATTTGGCAAGTGGGGGGACCATCGAAGTCAGATTTGACGTGAGAAATTACCACATTTGGGAAATTGTCGTCAAGTCCAGCGTCGTCGTCGATATCGTCGAGTGGTTCTTCCTTGATGATGATGGGATTAATCGTCATCATCGTAATCTTCGTTGTCTTCCATCTATTTAAGAAAATGTAAAGTACACAAAAATTAATTTTATATTCATAATTGGAGATTTTTATCTAAAAGTAGAAATGTTGGAGAAATTTGAAATTTGTTTCAAATACATGTACGGAACTACTATGATCACATTATTTAAAAAAATTAGCATGCCAAATTTTGTGGATTTTACAAATTTATCATAAATTGGGAATAAAATGCAAAATTTAACACAGACTTACTTCCAACTCCAAATCCTTACACCTATTATCCAATCCTATAGCCGAACGTATTTAACAGTTTTACGAATTGATTTTTTCAATAATTTATTTCACAGGAATTACAAAATAAGCTGCAATTTAACTATTTTCCTAATTGCCATTAGAGCTGGACGGAACATGTGTTAATTTTTTAACGCGATGACCACAAGTTTCGCAGAAAAATGTGAGTTGTCCTATTTGAGACGGAATCTCAATTTCGCAACCGTTTCTTACTTTGTTGATGTTTCATGCATTTGCAAAATCGCATGAAAAACCTTATAACTATGCACAAAATAATTATTTCGTGCTTAATTACTCACATGATAATGTTCACTTCTCGTGATATGGATTAAGGAGTAATGTCTACTTACATATTTAATTTTCTCCTGCATTTTAATACTTTACACCACTTTATGAATACATACCTGTAATTTTACCTTTCTTTTCGTCACAACTTCACAAAAAATGACCACGAGAGAAACAACACTAGCAAATATCCAGACAAAAAATATTCCCACAAAATTATTCCGCAAGTCCAACTTTCTCCAGGGTTGTTTGGCATTTTCCGCTTTTCTCGATAAATTCTTAGAAATTCTGACCCGTGCATTTTTCACTTCTCTGCTCCATTTCGCCCCCAATCCGGACGTTATCAAGGACCCCAATCGGTCCAAAATGGACGCATCCGGAACATTATGGACCGCCCACCCCTTCTGGATCGGCGTCAAGGGGTGCACACTCCTACTGACGGTGCTGTCTTTTCGAAGGACTTTCAATTCGTGATAAATTTCTTCCACGTCGTCCGACCAGCCGGCGAAAGCTGTGCGAATTTCGCAATTATCTACCGTCCTTGCAAATGTATCATTTCCGTTTAATATGTTCCCATAGTTTTTCGGAAACCTGGCAACTTCTCCTAGTCGTTTCAGCTTTTCTGAATCTGCGTTCGGATTGTAAATATCGCTCTGAGAACTTCCTGGATATAAATTCTGGTCGTAGAAGATGGAGTAAAACACTTTGGGCAGAATTGCAGAAACACTACAGTCGAAGAAGTGTTCTATATTTGACAAATACTTGAAGAGAGTGACGTCATAGGCGCCAGAGTAAATTGTAAAATTTCGCGAATAAAGTTGGGCGAAATCCGTAAATTTTGGAGGATTTGGTCGAATCGTGAAACTTTTGACGTACTCGCTACGGTAAGAGTGTGTCAGCACGATCGCGGTTAAGATCCAAATTGTGCATAGAATGTAGGTAAATTTATAGGTGTCTCTGTTTGCCCCGGAAGTCGACGCCTTCTCGTTTTTTGCGTAAGGATTGCTCTGTTCTAGCAATGTGGCGTAACCGAGGTGGAACAGGGTAAGGAGAAAAAACTGTCGATGATCTTTGCACGTACTTTTCATCGACGTAATAATTTTGTGACTGGCCGCCATAACAGCGGAAATAGAAACAGCTGAAACGGAAATGAGAAACCAGCTGATCCAATCTAAAGAACCAAATAGGGCGGAAAACGAATCTTCCCACGGTTTCGAATTCTGGATGGGATAACACGTAACGAACTCTAAGCCTTCGATCTTCAAGGAAAAGTATGGAAAGCTGAACATCCCCATGAGAACGAGCGGGATGTTTGAACGTGGATCAATCTTTGGATCAATTTCTGGAAGAAAGACGAGTTGAGAGTGGGTCTTGGCAAAATTTGAATTCTTTGGGCGGGGTTGCACCTCATTTTCGCAATCGATTTCCAATCCGGTTATCGTAATGTTTGGGAATGTCAAACGGATTAGAATAAATTCAACAAGGAGTGGTATTGATTTATCGTTTTTAGTAATATTGCCAAAATATTGGCTACGTTGCCCGTTATATTTTGCCACTTGGTTAATGTTCAAAACAGTGTGTTGAAATCGCCAAGGTCGATTTTGTAGGGGCGTTTTTTGCAATATTTTGAAGGCTTGTCTTATTAGGGCAAGATTTAGCTCCCCATAATATTCAAAGTATTCCATATAACAAGGGGTGCACATTTCACAAACCAGATAAATTTTCAAATCTTCAAATTTCGCAGGATTTCGACTAACTTCTATGATAAACATCTGGCTGGGATGGACACTGTTCCCCCGGTTCCATTGAAATATTGGAACTGCCCAATTGTCCCAGGCCAATGTAGATTCAGAATTTGTAACCAGGATACGAAATATATTCTCCAAATTTAGGTATGGCGAAATTGCGTCTGTATGCAATCGTTTGAATCGCCATAGAGGTGGGGGAGATGTGAGATACCAATCGGTCAAGAGGGGGACGTTCAAACCACCAATTTGTTTCCGGACAGATGGAAACAAGTAGAGTGAAACTGCGCAAATAAAAGGTGGGTAGATTTTCGCAAATGGCAAATATAACGTTGCGTTTGGTGTGAAATAGGTCATAGAATGGGTAATATTTTTTGACCATTCGTACGGGTCACGCCTTATCGAGACAACTGATTGGATTGTAGGCACTCCGGGAACAAAATTGATGTTATTTAGTTCAGTCGAGCTATTTTCTGGGAAATGGAGCAGGATTACCAAACAGTTTTCCAACGGCTGCAGTATCGAATTTATATTCAAAGCCACACCCGTAACCCTGTAAATCAGGACAAATTGCAGACAAAAATTCAGCGAACTCTTCATACCGAATTTAAATGTGGTGCTGAGAAAAGAGATAAAATTGAAATGTTTGGAATTTTATGTTGTTAGTATGGCTATAGTGAAAGTAAAAAAATTGTATTATGTAGTTTGTTCATTTGATTAACAGTAAAACACTTTGTCTTTCATTCTGCTCCAATTCGATGTAAATAGATAAGTAGAAAATCAACAACGCAAACTTATTGTTTCTTTTGAGAGGTGGTCAACGCCCATCTGTTTATATAAAGGAAAGCAATGTATTCGCAGGGTTCATATATTGTTTGGCAATCCAGAATTATTAAAATATTAACTGCTAAGGAGTCGAACATCGGAATTTTTAACCTTACACAAAAACCTAACCTTATATTTATATATAAGAATATTACATATATATGTATGTGTGAACTGTGGGTATGGACATGACTAAAAACATGTTTCGTACAATTTTAAAAACAGTTAGTCGATATTGTCTTCAACCTTGAATGGAGGTAATCCTAAGTGCATTGATGTATTGATAATTCTCAAAAGAGCTAACGGTAACGGTGCTAAAATTCCGAAATGAGTATATGTACGAGCACGTGTGTACATACGCTCTAGGGTTTGATGGTACAAATTGCTAAGAAAATTAAGAAAATAAAGTACATAAATCCTCTCATCTATTATTTGACTGGCGATACGTAGATACATGCATTTATGAAAATCGTCACTATTTTGTTGTTCATTTTCTTTGACTGTATTTCAATTTGTCCACGTTAAATCAATTAAGCTTTGTGCCACACAATTTAATCATAAAATAATTAGACAATGGTCAATTAATGATACACTTATCAAAATTTGGTAATATTATCAACGTGATAAGAGTGACGTAAATCATTCACGCAACCCATCCGTACTATGCCAGATTAAACGATTATTGCAGTCACTTGCTGCGAGACACCGTTTAAGGTCAAGCAAATTATTAATATTTAAAATTACAGAATCTTTTTGAAAAAGATACATACATCAAAAATATTCAAAAATGTCTAAATTTCTTAAAATGCAACTGTATTTTCTGTTTTGTATGCTTCTGCACGTGCGTGGTAAGTATTCAGTTATTCTGAATTTCTGAAAGGTTATTTAAGAATCTGAAACAACCTTTTGCACTAAATTTGTGTATAATTACTTAATTATCTGAACATAATTACTTAACTGTCTAGGCCAACACATTCTAATTCCTGACGTCCCTTATGGCACCCACCCAGAACAAATCATGGACATCTATCTGCCCTCTGGGAACACTACTCGAGTGTCAAAAGTGGTAGTGCTGATTCACGGTGGTGCCTGGTTTTCTGGACAAAAGGAAGACATGCTGGAATTTGTTCCTTTCCTCGAACGAGACTTTCCAGAATATTGTATCGCAAACATGAACTACAGACTAGGTCAGGAAATTCAAATTTATGTCCATTATTCATGTCAGCAATTAATATCGAATTTAAAACTTGGCGCCGAAATGTGATGTAATCAAAAATATTATTTAATGTCGAATATCAAGGCACGCACGAAGATCCCGGCTTCCCTAAACAGGTCGACGACCTTGACCTAGCCTTGACCTATCTCCGCGGCACATTCACGGACGATGTGACCTTTGCCCTGTTCGGGACCAGTGCCGGGGCTCACCTGTCAATGCTCTACTCATTCTCCCGGGATATCACCAACGACGTCAAGGTCATCGTTTCTCACGTCGGACCGGTCGACCTGACTGACCCTTCCTACGTCGCGAATCCCCTCTACAACGGACTGTTCTACAATTTAGTAGGTCCATGTTTGTATGCCGAATGCCCCGAACTTTACAACGTTACGAGCCCAATCATCTACGTGGACGAGAATTCTCCAAAAACTATCGGTTTTTACGGAAATCTTGATCTTCAAGTGCCGTCCACGCAGATGCCGATGTTGCGGGAGAAGTTGGACCTGTTTGGGATTCCTAATAAATTTACGTTGTACCAAGGCGGGCACGGGTGGAATTGGTCGGACGAGGATAAGGAAGATTTGAGGGTGCAGATCACACAATTTTTTAATCAGCATTGGTAAATAATTTGTGAAGAAGTTGTAAAGTGAAATTTATGTTAAATGCATGAAATTAATAAATTATGTTTTTGAGTTGTTCGTTTGAATTCAGTTGTAAATGTGTACTTCGTAATGTGGTATGGATTTACCGAATTTGATTACTTTGTGGTATATGTATTAATTAAATAATTCTTTGACCTTTCAATATAGGCCGTTTAAATATTTCATTTGATCAAATAATATAACCCATGGCATGGCCTAATTGTAATTGTGCACGTTAACATTTGCCTGGCTATTTAATTAAGTCTGAAATTGTTGTTTTTGGTTACATTAGTTCCAAGAATGCTCTCTGTACATTACTTTGGCAAATATATATGTAGAAAATATATATGTAGAGAGAATTATGTAGGGATACAAGATTAAATTTGTCAACATATAAGAAATATTAAGTTATATGTTTCATAATAGTACTCGTTGTTATGTAATATCTGTTCTGATATGTTCATATCCTGTATTGAATAATTCTTACAACCTATTACGTATACTGTATTACCAATACCGTACTAGGATTGTTTAATGAATAAATAATTGTCGTGACAAAATTAACAAGAAATTTAAAACCAAACCAAGTTATGATAGAAATACACATAAGTAAATAGAGTATTTATTACCATCCATGCCATGTCGGCTCAGTGGACTTGAAATTCCAAGATTAGTTTAGAAATTCCCACTTATGCATAAAAAGCTTTGTCCATACAGAAAGCTAAATAACTATTGTCGAAAAATGGTGGCTTTCTTGTTCCAATATACAAAAATTATTCATTTTTATGTCCCATCTTTGGGACTTAATCAGATTAGATATGATTCCCTTCGAAACCGATGTTATTCATATCCATTTGATGGATTTTCTCGATTTAGAAACATCCTGTTTGTCTTTCTTACCTGTATTTTAGCTTTGAATGGAGTCTACAAAATTGTGACGATTCAACTACCATTACTGGAAACTGTGAGTCTTCTATTTTTCGTGGGTGGATTTTGTACGTTTCTGTACGGATTCTTCTCACTGCTTGTGAGTAGTAATGTTGTGGTGGACTTCGTTATCTTGTTGAATATGGAAAAGATTCTTCATGAAAAAGAAAAAGCTGTTCAACTATTGGGTAAGCTTGCAACACATAACATGGAACATATAGTAAAAATATTGTTATAATAGAGGAAATATATTGTGATTTACCAGAGCTGGTACATCACAATATATTTCCTCTATTATCAAATATCAAGCTCTTGATATTTGGTAGATAAACTTATTACCGCATGGTAACAGAAATTATTAGAGGCAAAAATTTCTACCAATTGGCAATATGACGTGTTACCAAGCTGTAATAATTTGTCATAATAGCCTTGATCGCATTCGCACCTTAGTGTCCCCGGTAAATACGTGAATTATCTAAATCGCATTTAATATTTTTAAGGCTCTTCACCAAGCTGGATCAGGTACTACAAGTTTCTGAAGAAACACTGCTCCAGAATTTCTAATCTAGCAGCGATGTCCCTCTCATGTTCGTCTTCCCTGATAGCCTGGTACCGGGAAGACCTCCAACTGATCACAAGTATTCTGCTACCGATTTGGAGTTCCTTTTCCACACCTTATTACATCATTTCAGCTATTGGAATCTTATCACAAACTTGGATAAGCTTTGCGTTATGTTTCACCTTTTGTTATTTTTTGTTTGATATCTTCATGATTGCCATACTCAAAGTGACGTTAAATCTTGTTCGATTGAAAAGGTAAAAATTTTAAATCTTTATTTTTTTCTTCTTTTTTCTTCTTCGTCTTTATTTTATTAAATAGTTTTCGCCAATGCAGATCTTTGCAAATATGTACATAAGTAATAAGTACATGCATAATTTAAACTGTTGATATAATTGATAATTGTAGATTGAAAGTACGAAATACAATCTCAGGAATAATTTTAATTTTGATTTAAGACAAGGTTTAAGGAATCGCCAGGTTTGCTACGAGAAGAATTATTAACATACAAGAAAATTCAAATATTGACGGCGCAAATCAACACATGTTTCAAGGATTCCATACTGCCTTCAATTCTCCTAATTTGTGTACACAGCATTCTACTCGGGACGTATTTAGCAATTTCCATTCGTGAGAAATTACTTGACCACGTGGGAAATCTATTGTTTCCACTTTGTGCAATTTTTGCGATAGGTGCAGTTTTTGGGATCGGAACAATGACCGGGTTCGTGAATAAGGGATCAATACAAGTAATTAGAAAGCTACGAAACGTAGATGTGTCTAAATGTGGTTTGGAAAATAGATCACGAAATTTGAAGGTGATTATGAAATTTAGTAAATCATTAAGCCCAATGAAAATCAGATTTGGAAATAATTTTATGTCAATTTCCACACCATTGGTTATCTTGGTGTTTTGTGCGAGAAATATTGTGAGGTTATTATTGATTAGATAATTGGAAGGACTTGTTTGCTTTTATGTAGGAATGGTAAACATCACATACATATTTAATTAAATATTTCTACCAACAGGGTATTCATTGTAATCAAAGCGGCTGTTGGTAAATTTGACGCCGAACCCGTTGTATAATTCTGAATTATACAACGGGTACCGAAATTGTACTATGTATTAACTCCGGCAAAAATATATATGTAAAGCTATGTATGTTTAAGGTGATTTTAATTCTTAATTAATGCAGCAATCAATGTGAAAAACTTATTCTGGGGAAAGTAGATTTAAAAAAAATTGTAAACAGGAGATGAGTATCCACAGTATGATAATCAAAATAATCGTAACATTGTGATATTAGATATGAAAATAAGATAGCACACAACTTGTGACACTTGGCTACATTAAAATATGGGCGAACCAATTTTTCTACCCAGACAGAATTCTACGGAGCCAGTTGACTGAATATTGCGCAAGTGGTGATAAATTATTTGGTAATGACGGAAAATGATTTAATGATTTGGCAAGATCTGGTGGAGATTGGCAAGTTTTTTATTACTTTGACTGAAAATTTCCTATATGTAGCACTTCATTCAGTTTGGTTGTTGAATTAATTGAGCAAAATTTACAATACAGCAAACATATTAAATGCTATTTAAATTTTTATTCTTTATTGCTGATCATAATAATATAATATTTCCAGTTTTCCTTCTTTCAACCATACATATTTATTTCATTGGTGGATATTAATTTGTCAGTAACGTCTTCCTGGATAATAACGTAAATGATATAAATTAAATCAGATCATGTCTAAACATGTGTCTATGTAACATAGACTACATAATATAAAACTGATAAATTTTGAAGTTCAAGTTCAATAAAATATTTATTGACTTGCAGTATGCGTAAATGTGCTTAAATTGGTTACTGATTTACTTGTCCATTAAACTTCTTTATTCTTCTATTTGGAAATACGGAAGCAATTAAATGCTTTAAAATCCATCAGCTACTCTTTGATGTATTTTGACTTTGATGTCCAGAAAAATATTTCTTGCAGACGTGCTGGAGACATCGCTACCATGGCCACGAAGGACGTTAAAGTAAAAGTTTTCAAATCCTTCCGGGAAACCAGAAACCCAGAATTTGCTCAAATAATTGGAGAAATTCCAGTATGGGCGAGCGGTCTTCTTTTACGAAGTTGTCCAGCCAAGTAAGTTTCCCTGGAAATTTATTAATTAGATATTCTTTGACTCACGTACTAAAATAAAGCGTTTATTTCCATCAGATGGGATTACCCCAAATTCCGGCTGAACCATGCCGTCGATGGGTACACAATGATTACTAAATTTGAAGTGGTGGGTGGCAAATCTGGCAGTGTGGGCTTTTCGTCGAAATTCTTGCAATCAGAAGCCTTCAAGAAGGCAGAAGTTGCCCAGAAACCAATTATTCACGAGTTTTCGACCCGTTCTGCTGGATCAGATTCAAAATCAGCGATCTGCAAAGTAGTTTCATCAGTGGTAGGGTACTCAAATACATCAAACTTATCAAATACTAAATATATAAATAACTGATAAATAAACCTTAAACTTGATAACTTTGTCCAGCTTCCGGAAGTCACAGATAATTGCAAGTACATCTGTAATTCTGATCTTTGTCGGAACCCCACAATTAATGCAGATAACGGCTTCTTGTAATTATTTTTTAACTATAAGGGTAGTCAAGGTTAACGATCATTTGGATTATAATCGATTATTTTTGAAAATAATCGTCAAAATATACGATTATTTTTAGGCGATTATAATCAGGAATAGATTATAATCGCTTATGATCGTTAACCTTGACTACCCTTTATGTATCATCCTTTTATGATGGTTTCCAGTTAAATAATCCGTGTACCCTCCCACGCTTACAACTTATTTCAAATTATTCCTCCACAGATTCGAGTTGGATCCAAAAACGTTAAACTGCCTCTCAAGTAATACATATTACATCAATTACCTTTGCAATCACTAATTAAGAAAATTACGTAATCATACTTTTCCACAAAACTCGACAGGACAAGAGCCCGTCAAAGATCTCGGTCTCCACGGCATCTCCTCCCACCCGCTCACCGACCCTGAGTCTGGCGATACTTACAACGTCGGCCTTCATCTCGTGCCAACTGCAAAATGGAAAGTCATCAAGTTTCCGACAGGTTGCAAATCTTCGTTGAAGGAAACGTTGAAGAAAGGCAAAATCATCGCGTCGCATCCATGTCGAAATAAAACTTTGGCGCCATGGGTGCACTCGTTTGGAATGTCGAAGAACTACGTGGTCTGGATTGATCAGCCGGCCCACTTCAACCTCACCAAGGCGTTCAAGTCCGTCCTGAAGGGTTTCTGCCCGAGAGAAGTGCTGGAGTGGTGTCCCGAGAAGAAGAACCAATTTTGTGCGTTTAATATGTGCACAGTTTATCATCAATTAAATATCTATGGCAAGATTTCATCCGCTAGATTTGAATTGTGGGGCTCATTATAGCCGGAACTTCAATTTTTCATTGTCATGATGCACATGAAAAATTGTGTTCTTGATCCCACCTAATATGTGTTTATAGACAAAGAATTAAGCGATTTGTAGATAAATCTCTTACGTAGTGGATTTTCTAACTATTATCGTTTCTATAATTGTTAGATTTCCTGAACAAGAAAACCCTGAAAGTGGTCAAGACCGAAATCATTTCAAAAGATGCCTTTTTCTTCACCCATTTTCTTAACTGTTACGAAGAAGCCGGTCACATGGTCGTGGATCTCTTTGGCATGCTAAACATTCAATATTGTGACGGTCAAGCGCTCGCAAGACTTCGATCTGGAAAAGTGATGCAAGACAAAGATTGTCCGCGCCTCTTGCGGTTCGTCGCACCCATCGGCGCATTCGAGGACGTTAGAAAGTTTCCCGAAAACAGAAATCTGGTCAAGATGAATTCAACCGGAAAAGCTGTCCGGATTGGGGAAAAGGTCATTCTTGAACCGGAAATAATGTCAGAAATCAAAATGGATCTGGCAGTTTGGAACAAGAAGTTTTATGGAGAAAACCTTCGTTTTATTTACGCCACGGGAGCGTTATGTCCCTCCGTTCATCACCATAAAGTGGTAAAGTTCGACCTGAAAACTAGGAAGGTTATTACATGGGAAGCTGAACTTCATCAAACTGTGGGGGAAGCATGCTTCATTCCACGACCTAATTGTAACGAGCAGGATGACGGACTGATTGTTCTTGTCGTGATTAATTATTTGGAATTGGCAGAAAAACAAAGAGATTTCGTGGTTTGGTTAAATGCTAAAGATTTTAAAGAGGTTGGAAGAGCTTACTTCGATGTTGAAATTCCTATCGGACTTCACTCGATTTTTTTGGCAAAATAATTCTAAAGTTAATTTATTGACCATTGACGCATTGACCAACAGGTTATTTATCAGCTATTTACATAAAAGTTAATAAATGTAGCATAAATCAATTAATAATCAATAAATTTCTCAATGCATATTGACCTACATAAATACATAAGTACATATCACACTGTAAAAAATATTACCACCGGGCAGTGACTGTACATAACTCTACAGACACGGTGATACTGTGTCACCGTGTGGTAGTGATAGTTCGTAACCGGGCGGTGGTGGCAGTTTACCTTGCGGTAATACGTTGTCATTTGTCACCATTTCGGTGGTAATTTGTCATCCAGTGGTAATACACCATCACCAAGAAGCATAAGAGTGCATAATATTCACTTCATCAGTGTTTCATATCTGAGGAATCATAAAAAAAATTAAATAAATCTAAATATATTTATTTCTTTTCGGTTCCAATTTTGATTTTATATTTAATATGGATAAACTAAAAATTGTAATTGAAGAATTTTGATATATCAAGAGGAACCATCATAAGAAAAACTTTAAATGCAATTTCAAACCGATTCTAGTGTTCAATCATATTACGCAAATTTTTGGAAATAATAAAATAAATGCAAAACATTATGGGCTTCATTTCCTTAAAAGTTAGGAATGCATTTTGTTAGGGAATTTTAAAATTGAAAAATCGATTATTTATTTATATTTCTTAAAATTTGATATAGCTGACGTAGTTAATTTAGGATGCAATTTTTATGAAAGTAACAACTTAATATAAATTTAGATGTCATTTAAATTTTTATTAAATTACCAAAATATTTTAACGCTACCCATTATTAAGTAGTAATTTTTACAAGCATTAGCATTATGTACATATTATTTTTTTAGGTTAGAAATACAATCCTCCTTTGCGAAAGTATCGCAATGGAGGATTGTATTTAGCTGGTTGTAAAATTTCAAACGGCGTCTCCTCCATCAACACTAATGGATCCCCGCTTTTCCCAATCCGTAAACCAACAGATCCTTATACACTTCGTAAACTAGATTTACTCATGATTTGAACCTCCGGATAATAAACTTCCCATTTTCTAACACAAACCCAATCAGTGCAAGCCCAAACGAAACTGCACATATTGTAAAAACAGGTCGAATTAGTTCTATCGAGATGGAGTTTCCCTCATGTAAAGTCATTGTGTCCTTCTGATTCCATAAGTAGTTTTGTAGGGCAACAAAACGTTTTCGTTTTTCCAACTGTCCCCGGTTCGCGTGAAAATATAGTGAAATGCTGTGCACTTTACTCCAAATCAGGTTTAATCCTGTCGTGAACATGCGCCCCCATTCTTTACCAAAATAGGGCGCCAACAAACTTCCAAACCCAACCTGAAATCGTATTACCCTGAATGGAGAATCACCCTTGTTTTTCACGCTACGACGGTTTCCCAATATTTTAATTTGTTTCACGACGTCATCTAATTTATCTTCGAAAAACAGTAGCACAATTGTTTTGTGCGTCCGGCTCGTATTTCCAGAAACAGTTTTATGTATCATATCTGATTCGGCCTTGTTGAGCGATAAAACCCTGGCTTGAAATTCGGTCAGGAAATTAACAAATTTTGAATTTTTCACATAACTTGTGATTAATTCTGGGATGATGAAGAACTTAAGGAATGTTTGATATGACCGGCTACGAGTGCTATACACAGTATCCATCGCTACCATGGGCACATCCCAGTTGAGGAGGTCTTCCACTCCGCGGGGAGTTTGAGGTGGTACGAGTACCGCTAAACACGAATATATCGAGCCCTGGTACAAATTTGATGTGAGAAAAAGGTTCCCAAACAGCCAGAAGGTGATCAAGACCAAAGCAACTTTTCCGCTTGCATACGCCTTTCCTGTCGTCTCTAAAACCTGTCCGAGCAGAATGGACACTACAGCAATTGCCACGTTGATCGAGGATACCCATTGATCATCCTGCCGAATTGCAAAATTCAAAAACCCCGCGAGTGAAAGTGTGATGACCAACAGACACATCCACGTCGCCAGGTCGAACGGAGTGACGAAAGTCTCCACCCCGTTGGACGGAGAGGGCGGGTTGGTAACCGTTAAGAAGTTGATGGACCTTAGATTGACGTTGAGAATGTAATCTCGCGTGCCCACCTTATTCAGTTGAATAGAAAAGAAACTGCCAAAACTCTTCTGGAAGGAAAAGTGAGCCTCTCCACCTCCGCTGTCCTCCTGCATGGTCAGGTTATACTTTTCCGCAACTATTGCTATAGGACAGAAGTATTGGTTTTTTACATTGGCATTTCGCCAATAGAGCAGCCCGCAAGTTGCGTTTGGTGAACCCCAAACTAGGACAGAGTACTGGTGCATGTTCCTATTTTGGGCGTCCCAAGCGGCACGGATGACGGACAATGAGACGATCTCTAAATTTTGAAAAAGCGGTGGGACTGCATGTCAGACAAGGCAGTAGCAGGGGTGTTGTGAAATTGTCTTCGAACAGTATCAATTTCGCACTACCTATTAATTTAGCGGCACGTTTGAAGCATTCAGCATCACGGTGGGGAGATGTTTGTCCAAAGATATATTCTGGTCGGGCTACCTCGTTAGCGAAGAGGATTAAGTATTCACATCTTAGAAATATTGCGATATTTATATCATGTGGGGAATTGTGTATCCGAACGAAGGAGGATTTTTGTCTGGGTGATTTGTCAGTGGGAGGATTCCATTTCCAAGTGATGGTCTCGTCGATAATGATCGGTCCGGATAAATTGTTGCAGTAAAGGATTTGTCTGAGGGGACTGTAGGAATTATGAGACCAAACAGGCTGAAAGTCAGACAGGTCTGCGTCGAGATCAGATAATTTGTCACAGTTCGGGGTAAAGATGATGGTGAGGGCGGTATCGGCGAAGACGTCACTCCAAATGCTTGTTGAACATAGTGAGTATGGTGATAATGTGATGATTGTAGCGAGAAGGTGAAAAATTGGATAGGGCCACATTTTCAGTTTTACTAAAATAATATATGTTTTTGTTTTAAAATGGTTTGGTCGGCTTATTTTAAACTGCTCTGTTTTATAGCTGTGTCCCATTGTGCTGAGGATTAGATTAAGCCGTATCGGCCAAATTGGTGTTGGTTGAAATTTGAGATAAAACGTAGGACGTCTGAATAGCCGAATTTTCCATTTCTTAAACATAGTTTACAGGTATGCTAATAGAGAAAGGAGCTACAATAAACGATCTCGTAAGCATTTTGCTTTTACCAGACTTAATACCTATCACGCCATCAATTTTTATATATTTTTTTTCCTTTGAATAATTATGCATGCTAATGATACTTGCCCGTAATAATTGTGTAACTAAACTATATGTTAGTTTTTAGCAATATTATCAGGGTTCCGGGTGGTAATTCACAGTGTTAATTAACGTTAATTACCGTTAATTACCACCCGACCTTACTGTGAATAACTGTGAAGAACTGGGAAATTCAAATTGGGGCTATACGAGACAAGTTGCACACGTAAAACTGCTAGATAATTTGTCTCAACCAGTCAGTTTAAATCAATCAATTCATTTTCTAAGAAATTGTCACTACTACATAATATTTTACCGATAATTAGACTTCAATATAAAACTATTAATCACATGCTTATTCGTTTGTAATAAATACTTGATTAAGATGGGTCCGCACAAATGAATATTTTTATTAAAAATTTACATTGCAAGAGCGAAACTCATGAAATCAGTAGTGAATTGCTTTTCTTGAGATCGACAAAGACATTTTTTACTACTAATGGATGTAGATTGAACAATTAATTTTTTAATATGGATTCATACACGATATATTAAATATATTAGTCATTGACCAATGTGTAAGCATTAACTAATTTTATGCAAAACTTGCATGAAAAATTTCAAGTTTAGTTCAGTGAGAACAGCAAATAAAGATACCACTTTTTGCCTTTGCAAAATACATGAATTTAAATTATCACAGTTTATCGACGAGATTATCGATTATCGATAATTAAATTATCACAGGATTCGGTGGAAGTTGACGAAGCTTTTTTTGCTCCTTTATTCCGAGTAGTTGGCCAAGTGGGTGAAATAAGTTTCTAAAAATTTATAGCGAATCCATAATTAGTAAGTCATATTAAAAAATTTCTTTTTCAATTTTTTTGTTAATTGATACAATAAAGAATTTTATACAGAAACGCAATTGCAATCAAAATTTTCATGTGCGTGATATTAACTGCAAAACATTGTGTGGCCTTTATGGCATTATAAGATGGTGATGAGCATGTAATATTTACAACCTATTTAAATTGCCAGATTTGGCAATCTTTAGTAGATTTTGCAAGGATTTTCTAAAACAAAGTTAGTTTTGACTTCGAGGTTGTTTTTTCTAATTAAAAAATATGTGATCGTAGAAATTTATTACTTGTGTAATATTTATTTAGTATTTAGCTAAATAGAAATAGAATCCTATTATTTGTTGATAAGTTTTTATCATCGATTTTTTAACACACCAAAATTTAGTATGTATAATTACTCAGATTTGTGTGGTAAATGAATTCCAACTGTGTAATTAACATTTTCACAAACAATATTTTACAAAATATCTCACCTCTCTAGAAAATATCTCACAAAAACCATACAAATTCCGATAGGAATCGCGTAAAGCAGGTCGTATGGCACCGCATATTTAACTTCCTTCGTAGGAACGATGTCTTTCCAGTCGAATCCTGGTGGCAACCAGACATCCGGATTCCAAAACCAGTCAAGAAATTGTCTCAAAATCATGACTACGTTTCCCAAACAAATCTACAATCTAAGCTAAAAATATTTTAACCAAATTTAGCACAATCGAATGACAAACTAAAACTTGCCCACACTCTCCCGTACATGAAATGGTGAAACACACGACGCGATGAATCAGGACATCGCCACGTTATCACGGCAGTCATGCTTATTTACTTTTGGATAAGATAAGATAGCAGCAAAAATGTTGGAATGGATGACTCGCTCGCTGGTTCGTTCAGTTAAATTAACGTTTGTATCGATCACACAAATTGGCATGGATAATCTGCCAAATAAACTTCCAACTGTGCACTTCACTACTTTGCAATTCCTCTTAAATGGCATGCCAATGAGTAATATGGCGTGTTCGACTCGAGTTAAATTTATTATTTGCGTGTGACAAGTGATGAGTCGGCATTTTTAATGGTGAGCAGTGTTTGTCAGGTTTGTCAAGTGTTCAACACACTTGTCTCGTATTTGCAATACTTAGTATTAATATTGTAAGCATACGTACATATGTGTATGAATGACAGACTACAGACAATAATTTGACAAAATAAATAGGAATCGATATACTTTATTAATCAGGTTTTTTGAAAGAAACAAATAGGAGAGTCAAGGTATCCTATTATAAGTAGCTGAATTTTAATGGATTATTTTTTTAAATACATAATTTTCAACCTAAACGATAATAGATTTTAATTGGTAATCTCAACTTCAAAATCTGTATTGCAACATATGTTAGTTATTTTCAGGATAATGTTGAGCCATAAATGCACACTATCTAAATATGTATTTAAAATCCCGAAAACGACGTCCTTGACCATACGACAGGCGTAATAACCAATCGAAATTACTAACAGCTATCATTATCTAATGTCGGTACCCGGCGTTGCTGAAGATATTGATATTTTTCTCAAATTTTAACCACCTTCGCACTTTCACTAATCGATACCCAAAGTAATTTTTCTCTTTGAGAAGCCTTTATATTAAAGTTTCAAGATATTTGTCTTTACGGCAGGACAGTCTGTCAAGTAAATAAATTCAAAAGTAATATTCTATTTAACTATTAATCAAACACTTACTATTGTCTCACGATCAATATTATGGAATGTGCTACATAGTCCAGGTTCACATTCTTTACTAAAATTGTGTAAAATTATTGCAAAAACTGAAAAAAACATCATTTTTACATGGAAGGAAGAGACTTGTTAAAATTACATAATTATATTACTTGCAAAACGGGATTTGCCAATCTGAGGGCAAAATTGTTATTTTGGGAAGTTTAACACGCAAATTATTTTAAACTTAGATTCTAATCAATTCGAGAAAATTTTTGATGACTTTTAGCTAACGCTAAACTATCCACGTCCAAATATTTTAGCAAACATAGGACAAATTATTACAAATTAATTAATTAATTACAAATTTAGTTGTGCATTTAGTGGGAAATCGAACTGTTTTTTAATACGCACCGAATTATCACAATGCCCCTTTCTGCTATCCTTTTCGTAATAGTGATACTTACCAGAACTTCATCCACCAGGTCATCTAGTTGGGCTGGCGTCTTTCTCGATGCCGACCTTACCTTTATATTTACCCCAAAATGTTCCCAATTATTCGATTTAGACGAAGACTTGTCTTACTATCAAGCCGTAAGATTCCACAATTTGTATACCCCACTCCGTCAGATCGTTATTTGTCGTTGGGACTCTCAAACTCCTATGCCAGACTTGCCACCATTTTTGAAAACGTATCAGTATCGCCCCACGGAAAAATCGGCACGACCAAAATCCATCTTTGTTCGGCTAAAACCGACCCCATGGCATACAGCAGCCGAAACATATTTGAACTGTGAATACTTCATCCTTACCCTGAGTGAAATACTTCAACAAGAATATATATTTGGTCGCATTAGCGCTTTCCAGGATACCGTTTGCCTCAAACGCGCCACTAAGTTAGTTGGTACCGCGAAACTCATCCTTTTCGATGACAGTATCAACTCACCCCTAATAATTCCGTGTTTAACTTGCAACCCCATTTCGTTTTCAAAACTCAACATTGTCTCATTCTCTGGGATCCTGGCAGCTTGGGACGCTCAAAATATGGACCTGCACCAATATTCGGTTTCAGTATGGGGTGTGTTAAACGGAACATGTGGTTTGGTATATTGGCGGCATGGGAACTCGAAATACCCCGACTTCTGCGCCGTAGCAACAATGGCGGAAAAGTATAATCTGACTATCACTGAAGACACTGGAGACGACGAGGATTACTTTTCCTTTACTCTTAGTTTTGGCCGTTTTTTGTATTCCCGCCTGAATAAAGTAGTGGAACGAGACTACATTCTCAACGTCAATCTAAGATCCATCAACTTCTTAACGGTTACCAACCCGCCCTCTCCGTCCAACGGGGTGGAGACTTTCGTCACCCCGTTCGACCTAGCGACGTGGACGTGTCTGCTGGTTAGCGTGGTGTCACTGGCGGTGTTTTTAAATTTCGCAATTCGGCAGGGTAATCACTGGATATCGTCGATCAACATGGTAATTACCGTAGCTTCCATTCTGCTCGGACAGGCTGGAGAAACGACAGGAAAGGCGTATGCCACGGGAAAAGTTTCCTTGGTCCTCATCACGTTTTGTCTGTTCGGAAACTTCTTTCTCACATCGAATTTGTACCAGGGCTCGATATTTTCCTGTTTAGCGGTGCTCGTCCCACCTCAAACTCCCCGCGGGGTGGAAGACCTCCTCAACTGGGATGTCCCCATGGTAGCGATGGATACTGCGTATAGTACTCGTACCATGTCATATCAAACATACCTTAAAGGGTACATAATCCCTGAATTAATCGACAGTGGTGTGGCAAATTCAAGCTTTGTGAAATTCTTAGCCCAATTTCAAGCAAAAGTTTTGTCGATCAAGGAAAACTTGGTGTTGAATATGGTGGATAACGCTATTTTTGAAAATTCGAGCCAAACCCGTCCGAAATTGGTCTTGTTCTATGCCGAAGATAAATTGGATGATGCCGTCAACCAAATTAATTTATTGGGAAACCGTCGCGCTGTGAGAAGTAAGGGCGACTCGCCATTCCGGATGCTGCAATTTGAAGTTGGTGCTAAAAATTTGCTAGCCACGTACATTGCTAAGGAATGGAGTCGCATGCGTGAAATAGGGTTGAAACAGATTTGGAGTAAAGTTTATAGAATTGCGCTGTTCTTTCGGCTTAATGAGAAACAAATAGGGAAACACAAAAATTTTGAGGCCATCCAAAATTTCTTTTGGAATCAGAAAGACGATTTGACTTCATATGAGGGAAATCCCATCTCGGTAGAACTAGTTCGACCTATTTTTGTGGTATGTGCAGTGATGCTAGGGCTTACAGTGGTAGCATTTGTGGTAGAAAATAGGAATTTTATCATCCAGGTCGGGAAAGTAGGAGTGATTCGGGCCTACAAAATATGTAAATTATTATTGTTTTCAAGATTATGAAATGGAAGAACAGGGAAACTTGTCGAAACCGTGGGAAACGGATGCTCTTAGAACTACGGTGTATGAATAGTAGCTATGGACACTGTGTATTATACTCGTACATACCTAGTCGTATGAAACATTCCTTAGCTCTTCATCATCCCAGAATCCTAAAATTGTACACATTTGTAGTCGTGTCCGTCCCTATAGGTACTGTCATTCTTTATACAGAATAAATAATAAATGAATACAGAATACGTAATATTCTTATATAAATACAAGGTCATATCTTTGTATAAGGTTAAAGATTCTGCTATTGTTTGTGATGCAGTCAATATTTTAATGGTTTTGGATTGTTAAACAATATATCAACCCTGCGAATACATTGCTTTCTTTTATGTAAACATATCCGAACGGGCGTTGACGACCTTTACAAAGAAACAATAAGTTTGTTTGTTTATTTTCTACTTATCTTTTCACGATGTATTGGTGCAGAACGAAAGACAAAGTGTTTTGCTTTTAATCAAATAAAAATGTTTATAAGTTCAGAAGATCGTGTTGTATCTCTATTAGCAGATTTGTAAACTATATTCAGGAAATTGTAAAATTATCATTATAATACATGTTTAGACGCCTTACACTTTATTTCAATCTCAAGTAATACCAAATTTTCTCTAAACTGCATACATACATATGTAAGCTAATCCTAGGCATAATTTGTATACTATTAGTAATAAAATAGGACAGTTTCAGAACGTGAGCAAACATGCCCAAAGTCACGTGACCGAATTTGTAGATCAATTCCACGATCAAACCGATTCAAAATATAAACACACATAATTTTAGCATAACTAAAAATGTGGCCCTATCCAATTTTTTACCTTCTCACTACAATCATCACATTATCATCATACACCTTATGCTCCACAAGCAGTTGGAGTGACGTCTTCGCCGAGGCCGACCTGACCTTCATCTTCACCCCGTACTGTGACAAATTATCTGACCTCGACGAAGACCTGTCTGATTTTCAGACTGTTTGGTCTCATAATTCGTACACACCCCTCCGACACATTATTCCCTGCGACAATTCATCTAGGCCGATAATTATCAATAAGTCCCTTACTCTCAAATGGAATCCTCCCTCAGACAAATCACCCAGAATAAAATCCTCTTTCGTTCGGATACACAATTCCCCACAAAATACAAATATCTACATATTTTCAAGATGTGAATACTTAATCCTATTCGCAAATGATGTTGTCCGACCAGAATATATCTTCGGACACACATCTCCCCACCGTGATTCCGATTGCTTCGAACGTGCCGCTAAATTAATAGGTACTCAGAAATTGATACTATTCGAAGACAGTCTCGCAACACCACTCCTACTGCCTTGTCTGACATGCAATCCCATCGCTTTTTCAAGATTGGAGATCGTCTCATTGTCAGTCATCCAGGCATCTTGGGATGCTCAAAATAGTACCATGCACCAGTATTCATTACTAGTTTGGGGTCCACCAAACGCAACTTGCGGGCTGCTATTTTTGCGAAATGCCAATTCAAAAAACCCTTACTTCTGTGGCATAGCAATAGTTGCAGAAAAGTATAATCTGACCATGGCAGAAGAGTCCGACAGTGAAGAATCTTACTTT